AGGAGGTTAAAAAGCAGCCCAGCAAATGCCAACAGGCACACAGACAACTGCCTGCTGCTTGAGGGACCTTACAACCAAAGCTGGCATCAGATGAGGCTGCAGCACCCACTTGGTAGATACTAAAGAACGCGGGCAGAGAGGTCCAGGTGGCAGCCTTGCAAATCAGGGAAAGTTGCTTGATGCCAAAAAGCCCCCAGAAGCAATCACAGATCGACTCGGACAAGTCAGATACAGAAACTGCGGGAGAAGGCACGGGAGCATACATGTGGACTCTAATCAGTGTCGGCAAATAGCCGGGCGATGTGGGCCATGACGTCTTGCAGGACTGTATAAAAATCTCAGCCATAAAGGGAAGAGGAACTGGCTACAAGCGTTATACAGAGGACTGAGGACTGCAGACATCAGACAGAAAACGTCAGGACTGTCCCCCTTCCCGTGTCTAGAATCAGACATCACAACCATGTGGGGGAAGGACAACATAAAGGTAACTAACAAGGCCTCAGGTACAGCTGGTAGCAAGTGTTTGGATGGACGGAGGTGACCATAGTCACTGTGGGTGGGCAGCAAGAACAGAATTCCTCGCAAGCCAGAGCAGCATTAGGGTGATGCTTCCCAGAGACTGTATGGTGGGAAAGAGCGTGCGCACCACACCGAACCCAGTGGATGAGGTCAGTGTTCAGTCCCAAAACATCAACCCCTTCCACAGTGCAAATGACATAGCTCCCAGCGCTCGGCCCCACAGACATTCACACAGCGAGTCTTCAGAGATGGGGCAAGCACTAAGGCAATGCCAGCGGCTCTGGACCTGGAATGCACAACGCAGGAAAACTTGTCAGCATGGAGTTTGCAATGTGCCCTGTGCTCAAAGGTCACGTCCAGGCTATCCCTGCACTCGGGTCTGGATGCAGAACCACAAAATCTAAGCCCAGGATGACCACGCCAGAGAGCAGCGATAGGAGGGGCAAGCTCTAGCAAGAGAAGAGTGGACTGAAGACAAAAGCAGAACCAAGAGGATTTCCAATCCTAGGACAGAACCTCCGAGGCATGCTGATAGCAGGAGGCGTTATCCTGGGCTGGACCACATTCTCTGTCTGCCATTGTCCAATCCCGTGTAGGTGGCAGTAAGGAAGGCACGAGACGTCTTGTGTCATCAATGAACAAGAAAACTGTATGTGGCAGCTCATTTCTGTACCCCTGCAATAGGTTATACGTGGAGGGGAGGGGGGGGGCTGGTAACTATAGGCAGCACAATCCGGTTTGGTAAGGTCTCTAAACCGCCATTGTGAACTTATCGGTGTCATCCAATGCGGACAGCAGAAGGTTTCATCATTTATAGAACATTCTGGTTGAGGTGACAGACTGCGTTGTGTTAGTTGCGTAGCACTCACCCCAGCAATATAACTTCCGGTGGCTCGGATGCAGCTGACGGCAACACCAATTCCACCGGCAGATTTGGAGATCAGAGCACATTGTTTCAGAGTGTCATAAATGCCTTCGATGCTGTCATCCTTCATACAGAGGAGGAAACAACTGGAAGGAGACATGAGAAGATTAACACCCCCAAATTATACACCCCAAATCCAAAGTGTGAACATTACACCAATACAGAGAAACGTCTTAATATCTAGCTGCATCAGAGACCCTCTCTATTCAGGGTATGGGGATCTGGAAAGCCCACCCCGACCTTCACAGATTCACCACGACTGCCGCTACCTCCATCTCAGCCTGTGAAAAATACCTGGTGGGAACGAGGCCAGTGACCCAAAATATACTCCTCAGGACCAACCACCATCATAGGAACCTTTATATGATCAATGAGCCCCTCTAATATTAGTTCATGGGCCCCAATATGAACTGAAAAATAGGAACTCATTTATGAATGACCACCCTTGAGCCCAGGAAACATGTTATGAACGATCACCAATATTAAAGTACTCTGGACCAGTCATTCTCTTTACACTCTGTACACATGGTGCTTCAATTCTGAGCCCCCTGCTCAGGGGGTCCCCCATTTTTGTTAAGGCACAGTGGCTCTGCCAGGCTGCTCTCATCAAGATTGTATTGATGATGCGAATGGAGCTCCTCTTTTCTACTTATCGAGGATTGCATGGCTTCGGGGCGACATCATTGCCCCAGTGTATCTCACCCAAGGATAGCTTTAGGACACCTGTATTTAAGAGGGGGCTCGGAGGAAGGTGCGCCTGAGAGGCTATTGAGGAAGGGGCGCACGAGAGGCCTGCTGTATTGGCCCCATTCCTCCTACAAGGTGACCGTAGCCGGCCTGCTGTATTGGGCCCCTATTCCTCCTACAAAGGTGACCGTAGCCTGCCTGCTGTATTGGGCCCATTCCTCCTACAAGGCGACTGTAGCCGGCCTGCTGTATTGGCCCCATTCCTCCTACAAGGTGACTGTAGCCGGCCTGCTGTATTGGACCCCCATTCCTCCTACAAGGTGACTGTAGCCGGCCTGCTGTATTGGCCCCATTCCTCCTACAAGGTGACCGTAGCCGGCCTGCTGTATTGGGCCCATTCCTCCTACAAGGTGACCGTAGCCGGCCTGCTGTATTGGGCCCATTCCTCCTACAAGGCGACTGTAGCCGGCCTGCTGTATTGGGCCCCTATTCCTCCTACAAGGTGACTGTAGCCGGCCTGCTGTATTGGCCCCATTCCTCCTACAAGGTGACCGTAGCCGGCCTGCTGTATTGGGCCCATTCCTCCTACAAGGTGACCGTAGCCGGCCTGCTGTATTGGGCCCATTCCTCCTACAAGGCGACTGTAGCCGGCCTGCTGTATTGGACCCCTATTCATCCTACAAGGTGACTGTAGCCGGCCTGCTGTATTGGACCCCTATTCATCCTACAAGGTGACTGTAGCCGGCCTGCTGTATTGGGCCCATTCCTCCTACAAGGTGACCATAGCCTGCCTGCTGTATTGGCCCCATTCCTCCTACAAGGTGACCGTAGCCTGCCTGCTGTATTGGGCCCCTATCCCTCCTACAAGGTGACCGTAGCCGGCCTGCTGTATTGGCCCCATTCCTCCTACAAGGTGACCGTAGCCGGCCTGCTGTATTGGGCCCCTATTCCTCCTACAAGGTGACCGTAGCCGGCCTGCTGTATTGGGCCCCTATTCCTCCTACAAGGTGACCGTAGCCGGCCTGCTGTATTGGGCCCCTATTCCTCCTACAAGGTGACCGTAGCCGGCCTGCTGTATTGGGCCCCTATTCCTCCTACAAGGTGACCGTAGCCGGCCTGCTGTATTGGGCCCCTATTCCTCCTACAAGGTGACCGTAGCCGGCCTGCTGTATTGGGCCCCTATTCCTCCTACAAGGTGACCGTAGCCGGCCTGCTGTATTGGGCCCCTATTCCTCCTACAAGGTGACCGTAGCCGGCCTGCTGTATTGGGCCCCTATTCCTCCTACAAGGTGACCGTAGCCGGCCTGCTGTATTGGGCCCCTATTCCTCCTACAAGGTGACCGTAGCCGGCCTGCTGTATTGGGCCCCTATTCCTCCTACAAGGTGACCGTAGCCGGCCTGCTGTATTGGGCCCCTATTCCTCCTACAAGGTGACCGTAGCCGGCCTGCTGTATTGGGCCCCTATTCCTCCTACAAGGTGACCGTAGCCGGCCTGCTGTATTGGGCCCCTATTCCTCCTACAAGGTGACCGTAGCCGGCCTGCTGTATTGGGCCCCTATTCCTCCTACAAGGTGACCGTAGCCGGCCTGCTGTATTGGGCCCCTATTCCTCCTACAAGGTGACCGTAGCCGGCCTGCTGTATTGGGCCCCTATTCCTCCTACAAGGTGACCGTAGCCGGCCTGCTGTATTGGGCCCCTATTCCTCCTACAAGGTGACCGTAGCCGGCCTGCTGTATTGGGCCCCTATTCCTCCTACAAGGTGACCGTAGCCGGCCTGCTGTATTGGGCCCCTATTCCTCCTACAAGGTGACCGTAGCCGGCCTGCTGTATTGGGCCCCTATTCCTCCTACAAGGTGACCGTAGCCGGCCTGCTGTATTGGGCCCCTATTCCTCCTACAAGGTGACCGTAGCCGGCCTGCTGTATTGGGCCCCTATTCCTCCTACAAGGTGACCGTAGCCGGCCTGCTGTATTGGGCCCCTATTCCTCCTACAAGGTGACCGTAGCCGGCCTGCTGTATTGGGCCCCTATTCCTCCTACAAGGTGACCGTAGCCGGCCTGCTGTATTGGGCCCCTATTCCTCCTACAAGGTGACCGTAGCCGGCCTGCTGTATTGGGCCCCTATTCCTCCTACAAGGTGACCGTAGCCGGCCTGCTGTATTGGGCCCCTATTCCTCCTACAAGGTGACCGTAGCCGGCCTGCTGTATTGGGCCCCTATTCCTCCTACAAGGTGACCGTAGCCGGCCTGCTGTATTGGGCCCCTATTCCTCCTACAAGGTGACCGTAGCCGGCCTGCTGTATTGGGCCCCTATTCCTCCTACAAGGTGACCGTAGCCGGCCTGCTGTATTGGGCCCCTATTCCTCCTACAAGGTGACCGTAGCCGGCCTGCTGTATTGGGCCCCTATTCCTCCTACAAGGTGACCGTAGCTATATTGGACGGTCTTGGTCATCCATACCTGGAGAGTTGGGGTCTGTTGGTGCCGGCATTGAACAGGGTGGGAGAGGCGTGTGTGAACCATTTCTCAGACAGCAGATTGTACGTTTCTATGGCCGCTTCTATGTCGTTTTTGTGGATTCCGACAGACACCCTCATGAGCATGTGCTGGGGACGTTCTGCCACTGCAAGGGAAGCACACCAGGTCATATTCATCCTCAGGAGAGAAAACCCAGTATCCTATCACAGGTTAGGCAATCTCAATCCGTACATCTGCCATGCCTTATAGTAAGCGTCTATGGATCTCTCCCACGCATCTTCTAGCGTGCGTCTACTCGCCGCCCCACCCCCTAGGAGTCCTTTATAGTGTGCGTCTCCTCTGCCCCACCCCCTTATAGTGCGTTTCCTATCCGCCCCTTTACAGCGTGCGTCTTACATCTGTCCCTTCACTGTAAAGTGCGTCTCCTCTGTCCCACCGCCTTATAGCGTGCGTTTCCTCTCCATCCCACCCCTATATACTGTGCTTTGCCTATCCATCCAACACCTAGTATGCATCTCTTATATGTCCCTCCTCCTGCGTTAGTGTCTCCTATACAACCTACTTCAGCACCTTCCTTCTAGTACGCATCTCCGATCCATCCCTTCCTGCGGTCTTTTATTGTGCATCCCCTAGGGGTCCCTGTGTGATCATATGATGGTTGTACCTCACTGTGTGTGTGTACAGAAATCCCGCCATGATCCAGCCAGGAGAGGCTCAGAACGTTCACTTATATGGACGACCTATATATCAGCCTTCATGCCATACACCACACATCATAT